GGAGGCCTGGAGCCCGCAGCACTGTCTCATGCAGGAAGTCTGGTTGGTGCATCACTAGAAGGGTCTCTGCTAAGTACGCTGGACACATTTCCACTGAACTTAGTACTCTGCAACCAGTGTCGCACGTGAGAGTGTCCCAAAAGGCGAGTGCATGTGTGGACCCCTGCCGTGCGGAGTTTCTGCAGGAGTGTGAGGATGTGTTTGCACAGTGTACAGAACCATCTTTCTCTTGTGTAGCATGGCTAGGATGCGCTCACAATGAGGATGGGCATGGCAAGCAGGGGGCCTTCTGCGTGGTGACATCAGTGAGTACCTGGTCCTTAGAGATGTGGAAGGAATGAGAATGTGGGCAAGGGGCTGGAGGGTCCAGCACGGGGAAAGCATGTGGAGGAGCTAGAGCTCCCGGCAGCACCCAGACATCAAAGGTGCCATGCAGTACGCCCCCTTGTTCTGCAGTGGAAGCACTGGGTTCAGGGGTACAGTTTGATGTGGTTGTTGAAAAGCCAGGTGTCACAAAATCTAGAGGTTTTGGGGGTATGTGCCTTCTGAACTCAAACCTGTTTTTGCTGAAAGAGCTGAACTCAGGCGGCACATTGCCTGGGACATGAGTGAGGTGGATGGTGATGCCCAGCAGTGGTGGGGGCAGTGTGTGGCTGCACCCACAGTCTTTGAAAGCCAGAGCCTGCTGGGCAGTGATGTCGCCGCCTTTCATTTTTCACCTGGGGAGTGTTGCTTCCGTCCCTCGCTGAGTGCAGGGGAAGCAGTGCATGGTTCTGTGGTACCCTGGCAGACAGAGGCAAAGCCAGCTTATGTTTTTCTGGCACATGTGTCTTGAGCTAAGGCAGAAACAGACTGTGCCCGGCCAGCTGCTGAGACTCCCAGTGCCAGTGCGATGGGCACAGTGCCCTGTGCACATGCTGGCGCTGGCAGCCTTTCTGGAGGAGCGCTGTGCATTGCCGTGAGAGGTGACCTCTGTGCTTCCTGTGTGTAGGTTGGTAATGTACATCGAGCGAGACAGCAGGAAGACCACTCCGGGCAGGGAGCAGCAGAGCCCTGGTGGCGAGTACCTGTCCAGATGCCTGCAGCTGCTCATCCGGCACCTCGCCCAGGAGCTGCCGCGGATCCTGGGTAAACTGATCGTCCGTCCGTCCGTTGCCATTCCTACAGGGGAACGGGTGTGGGAACCTCGCCTTGCGAGTGTGGCCCCCGGCTTAAGTTGTCCTCCTCTGTTTGTCATTATTTTGCATCAGTGACCTTGAGACCTAGCAGGCTCACGGTGACAGTGAGGTGTCAGCAGGAGGAGCCGCCATTTCCACATATAAACAAAATGAAAGCATTGTAATTGCTTGCAGCTGCACCCGTGCAGTTGCTTCTGGTAATTTTTCTCAGGTTTTCTCTCCGCTTAAATCTGAAGAAAATAACCTTCCCTTGAGTGTAGAGCCGCAAATCAGTTTATTAGAAGAACTTTAAAATATGTAACCTTTACATTTAAAATTTGAAGTGTTTAAAAATTTAAAGAATTTTTATAGTATTGGTCAGTGTTCAAATTTAAATTTAAAAAAATTTTTTGGTTTGAAAATTATCTTTAGTTCAAGTAAAGGCTTTTTTTTTCCCTAAAGGGTAATAAATTGGAAAAAAAAAAAAAAAAAGCAAGAATAGGAAAAAAAAGTGTCATAGGTCTGTCCTGTTATAATTCTGTATAAGGTTAGATTTCTAAATTTCTTTGTAAAAATATGTTAATGCTTATTTCTACTTTTATAAAATTATTTTTCCTTCATATTCTGTAAGGACTTAAAGTTCAACATATCAATATTTGATGGAAAAGTTATCTTTAAGGTAGTATCTAATGATTTGCAAAGGATGGTTACTCCGACAACAGATGTCTTATTTTGTGATTTGCAGAGATTAAAATGTAAAGGAGTCCCTTTTCATGCTTTTCTGGGAGAGGCAGCTATAAGCAGAAGCATCAGAAGTGTTAAGTGGTGAAAGCCCTTCACACCCTAGGACAGTACTGTTAGACTTTTGCTGCCAGCGAGTGAACCTAGAGCACCCCAGATTCATTCTGGCTGCCAGCTTTTGTTTGCACCCAGCCTGAAGATTATTGTCTTGTCAGTGGGTAGCTGAGATTCTTGTTTTTTTGGTTTGTGGTACTGGAGCTTGAACTCAGGACCTTGCACTTGCCAGGGAGATGCTCATGCTGCTGAGCTATCTCCCCAGCCCTGAGATTCTTATTACCAGACTCCACAGTTTAGGGCACAAAGATAAGATTCTAATGTCCGGGGCTGGGGAGATAGCTCAGCAGCATATGTGCATACCTGAAAAGCATAAGGTCCTGAGTTCACACCCGGCTACCATAACTAAAAGTGAGGTGAGTGAGTGAGAGAGCTCAGCGGTCTAAAGCGCCTGCTTAGCCAAGCATAGGCAAAGCAACAGGGACCGCAGTTCGATCCCGGCACCACATTCCTTGCCAGCCCCGTCTCCCAGGTTGGGCTGAGTGGGCCCCCGCACACACACACACACACACACACACACACACACACACACACACACACAAATTACAATGTCCACAAATCAAGTTCTGTTTATTATTGGATTTATTGTCCAATGGAAAGGTTTGGGAATTGAGCTCTTTCCACCTCTGTACTCTTTTATTTTTTAAAAAGCTCTGGTCTGTAATTTGTTCATTTATATAGTAACTTTAAAATGATTATTCCTATTTACCAAAGTAATGTGGTCAGACTTAAACTTCTGAAAATACGTAAGAAAATTCTAAAAGCACTACCTTAAATTTTCATAGACTCTATCTCTAATCCCTAGAGCTGAGGCTAAGTGACGGTGTGCGTGCCGAGCACCCCACTCTGCCCCAGAGGTCACGTGGGTCTAATGTCAGCATTGCGGGCGAGAAGCAGCAGGCGGCTCGCGCTCTCCGGAGCGGGGTTACCCTGGAATCCGCACCCCTGATCCCGGCCTGGCTGCGGCCCCTTTGGGTCCACGACCTTCAGCCTCTCTGGGCTGTGCTTTGCAGGTGACATTCTCAACGCCTTGGCCAGCGTCTCGGGTCGCAAGCACCCATCCACCGTCCAAGGGAAACAGCTCAAGATGTGCCTGCCCCTGATGCCCGTGGTGCTGCACCTGCTTACGTCTCAGGTACGGCGGCTTCTGTGAAGGAGGGGCGTGACAGCGTGTGCATGAATTGGAAGCTTCCCGTGGTAGTGGACACGTGGGCGCGAATCCCCTCCACGACCCTCCTCAACTTCAGGCCCCCTCGTCCCGCTTCCTGGAGCTGTTCTGCAACCCTTTCTCACTATTGCCTTTGAAAAGTGTGATACAGAGTATGGTGCTCGCGGCCGCCCAGCGCCATCCCAAGAAAGGCCGCTCCTACGAACGAGGGGCCGTGTCCTCGTCCACCGTAGGCGCAGGAGCTGGCACCGTGGGACCTCTGGCTCTTCGCGAAGTCAGATGACCACGAGGGGAAATGTTTTGGGCCAGTTTAGAACATGGAGGCCGCCCGGACAGGACACCTGAAGACCTTCCCCCGGCTCCAGAGCTGCTGCAGGAAGCAGCCGGCGGCCTGGGACGAGCGTGTGCCAAGCGGGGCGGGATTTCCACACCCCGTGCAAATGTGGCTCCCTGTTTGGTAACCTCTAGCTGAGAAATGTCAACTGAGGCAAAACAGTTTTGCTTCCTGGGTCACAGTTGGTTTTGGCTTTCAGAAGTTAATCTGTGGAAACTTGCCACACACAGGTTGTTCGGCCGCAAGTTGTGACGGAGGAGTTTCTCTTCAGTTATGGAACCATTCTTGTGAGTAACTCCTCAAGCGTGTGTGTTCCTACTACAGTTGTGGCTGCCTCTCTACTGTGTGTGGGACTTGCTGTGGACATTAGGCACTTAACAATTCTGCTGGCGTGTGTGTCTGCAGAAGCGACCTTTTTGCATTTTTATCTGTTGACTGTAATAGAAGTTGACATTTGGAGAGAAAATATATTCTGTGCTGGGAGTGTGTTTTGTTTCAAGACAGCCCCAAGTGCTGTAAATAAGTCCACAGAGACACTCAGAGATCTGGGCATTAAACATCCTAAAAAAATGTAGAATGTAATGTCGAGATGGAACGCAGAGGGTTCCAGTCGTGCTTGCTGTGGCTGCGCGAGGGGCTGCTGTCCTCAGTCCCCGCCAAGCGCCCGGCTTTGTACTGCCGCCCTGGGGTGCTGGGTGCCCTCACCCTGACGTGGCATTCTTGTGCTCGCCGTGCCTGCCCCTGGGTGCCCACCGCCTTGGGAGACCCTGCACTCCCTGGGGAGCTTTCCAGCCCGGACCACCCCTTGCCTGTGCCCCGCAGCAGAGCCCCAGCCTCAGCACCACGCCTGCTGCCTGGGCCGATTCCTCGTGCGGCCAGCTCCTCTCTGACACCTGCCCTGCCATGCTGTCCTCTGTCCTCAGTCACCATCCTCCCCCTCCCCCTCCCTCCCTCTTCCCTTCCTCCTTCCCTCCTTTCTGTTGCACTGAGAATGAAGGAAGAAGTATGTGTGTTCAGAGTGTTAGAATCAGTAAACCAACGACACGTTCAGCAGGGGTGTTCCTAAGGAAGCCGTGCTGTCACCCTCGGTGACGTCATTAACGCTGAAGCTGAGCCCACGTGCCTGGCTTTGCACATTGCCCTGCTCTCCCAGAATCGCTGCACAGAGGCTGGAGGGTGAACGCCTGCTCCATGTCGCCTCCTGCAGGAGTTCAGGACCCACGCAGGAGACAGCCCTCCCTGAGCTGTCTTTAGGGTCAGTGCGTCTGTGTGCAGCAGCAGTCCCATCTCATGTTGGAACATGGGTGGAGCCTTTTCAGCCAAATTACAGAAAGCTTCCAACGTGCCCTTTTTTCGGTTAACTTCATTTCACAGTCTGTTTTTTTATGTTTATTCATAGGCTGAAAA